CCTGATCCTTCATATTAACCATTTTATTTAAATATAGAGAATGCTTGAGAACTAACCATCCCAGACCCTAAATTTAACCTATGCATATACAGCCTATCTCCGACCTCAACCGGAAAAGCCGCGGGCGGCAAGGACTGACGCGAGGGGGGCACCCAACGAGTCAAAGCTGGACGCAGACGGTCCCTGACCAAGCGTCAATATGTTGACGAGTCGGGAGTGAGAACGTGTCACTCTGGGTGCTAGTTTCCATGTGGAAACTAGCATGCCAATAATAAAAGTTCATTTTTACTCCTAACAAATTAAGCCATTGGTTATGAAGTTCTATGTCGTGAAACTAAGTCAGAACTTGCAGAAATGGCAAAAGCATTAGCCCAAGGTGTTCAGAAGAAAAACAACAGGGTTTCAATAAGTTTGCTATCAATTTGATACCAGAGCTGCAACAACAAAGAGAATATTTAACTTTGTTAATTTAGTATTTTTGCACACTTTGTTTCACACAATTAAAAACGTGAAATAAAAATATACCGACAGACTACATTCAATACAAAACCAAAATCAGAACCCTGCCATGTTTATTAATGCTGGTTCACAGTGGGGTTTCTCATTAGATAGTTTTTGTGTTCTAAAAATATGACCTCAGAATATAATCCAATTACGAAACACACATTTATTCTCATTTACAGAAAGGAAAAAAAGCCAGTCATATGTGTTCAAAAAAGGCGTTTATCTAAAAAAAATCACCTGAAAAGACTGTTGGAAAAAGCGAGTTGTGGCCAAATATCACACAAAAAAAACTTTTCAGACTTTTCCAATGAAATACTGTATTAAATTACAACTGTTAGTCACTAGCCCTTACTGGGAAACCTGGCAGTGATCATAAGGTTTGGTCTTGGGGTACATTTAGGTCAGGATAGTTTGTGACTGAAGTAACCATGAGTTTTAAATTAAATTAGCAAAGCTATGAGAACATGTTCATGCCTTCAGTGTTTGATCATATTTCAGAATGACTAATGCAAAATATACATACTTTTAATTTTTTGTTTGGACAAAAGTTTCACAAACACATGTATCACTGTCATTGTTACATGAAACACATCCTAAAATCTGGATGTGCAGAGTTGAAAACAAAATACAGCATCCTACAGGTTTAAAATGTTACATTATGGAATCAGTTTTGAAAATCTTTCATTTTTAATTTAATTAATACAACAGTAGATAAAAGTGAAGGCTCAAGTTTAAAGACTATGGGAAATTGCATAACGTAGTTGCTTCTAGTCAACTTTTCTACAACCTCAGTGACCTCACTTCTGGTATCAAACCGGTTTGGGTTCTTAACACAAACATATTTATAGGTGTGTGCTATAACTTCCTTCGGTTGTGACCTTCACATCCATTTGCATTTCTTTTAACTGGAGACTTGAGTCAGGCAAACGCACTGCAGAGACCTTTCCTGTGCCTTTTTCCTTCTCGACCCTCAATCTATCTTTAAAACTCCTCACCTTCGTTCATGGTCTCAACACAACTCCCCTCTCCTCCATCTCTCTGTAGCACCC